AGCTGCTCCCGGACCAGGGCTCGAACCTGTGTCCCCTGCATTGGCAGGCAGATTCTTAACCACTGCACCACCAGGGAAGTCCCTCCATTCAGTTCTTTACGTCTTTTATTTCTTTGCTGAGACTTTCTATTTTTTAATTTGTTTCAAGAGTGTTCATGATTGCTCCTTGAAGCATTTTTACAATAGTTACTTTAAAATTCTTGTCAAATAATTCTAATATCTGCATCATCTTGGTGTTGGTATCTACATATTGGTTTTTCCCATTCTGTTTAAGATTTTCCTGATTCTTGAGATATCAAGTATAATTAATTATTTTCTTTTGTATCCTGGATATTTGGAGGATTATAATATGAGGCTCTAATTCCTTTCTTAAAATGTTACTGCCAGAGCAATAATCAGAGCTCTGTTTATACATTCCCAGTGCTGGTCACCTTGTACAGTGGCTGAATCACATTTTTTGGAGTTTTGGATAATTTGTTTCATAGTAATTGTAACCAGATATGTATGTATGTATGTATGTATGTATGCATGTATGTATATATATGTGTGTGTGTGTATATATATATATATATATCCATTTGTATATAAAAGGGGAGATTGTATATGTATGAATGTATGTATGCATATATAATTATTTTGTTCTCTGGGCCACAGAGGCCTGGGAACAGTAGAGTAAAAATGGCTGGGTAGAGTCCTTGGTGGGGTGGGGATTAGAGATGATAGAGCCCCAACCATAGTCTGGGGGTTCTGAGAGCTGGGCTGGATGTCCGAGATGTCTCATTCACATGGCTGGCAGTTGATGCTGAGTGAAGGTGGGAGCATGGTGGTCTCGGGTTATTCATCCTTTTCACATGGCAGCTGGCCTTCCCCAGAGAGAGATTCTCAAGAGAAACATGCAGGGACTTCCCTGGCGGTCCAGTGCTTAAGACTCTGCGTTTCCACTGCAGGGGGCATGGGTTTGATCCCTGGTTGGGGAATTAAGATCCCACATGCCCTGCGGCATGGCAAAAAAAAAAGAGAGAGAGAAAGAGAGAGAGAAAGAACCACACAGAAGCTACCTAAGTCTTTTCTGACTTAGACCCAGAGGTCATGCAGCACCTATGGTTACACGTGAGCCACTAGGTTGTATGATAAGGCCACCCAAGATGGCTGTTCTCTTGCTCTCTGTACATCCCCTGCTTGACCAGTCCCTGCTTCACCTACACCTTACTCACATGACTGACCCTTCCTGTAAATCATAGAGCTTAATCAGTAAACACCTACAGACTTGCCTCCAGCCCCAGCTAGTGATTGTTCTAATCTCTAGATCAGAATGTCTCCACCAAGACAGCTTATCCGAGGGGTGGTGAGGGGCCATGCTCCTCTGCTCTTTTCCCTGGTAACCGGTGAGCCAACCTGACAACAGTTCCCCCCTCTAACTGGTAACCTCCCTCCCAAACGCCCATAGCGAATACTGCTACCACCATGTCCTGCCCACTGTCTGCCACAGCCGGTGGGGTGTCACTCCAAGACCTTGCTTCAGAAATGTAAGATCCCCCCATCCATTAAACCATTGATGTCTCTGTCACTGACTCTGGGCTCTTTCTTTGACCTTGAGGCTGGGCAAGTACAGGGCTTGCAGGCCTGCCGGGCACAGCCCAACAAAGGTCAACCCAGATTGAAGGGAAGGGGACGGACCCACTTCTCGGTGGGGAAAGGGTCAAAGTTTTTGAGGACATGTTTTGAAACTACTACAGTCTGCTTTCTGGCCATGAAATATTTACATTCCTTCCACATGCAAAATTCACTCACCTCTATCCTCAACCTCAAAAGTCTCATCTATGTTGCATCAGGTTCATAGTCAAAGTCTAGGACCTCATCATCTAAGTCAGAGCTAGGTGTTGAGGAGGCCACCCTATTGCAGGGATACAGGATCTCTTGAGCACCTCCAAAGGGAGTGAAGCAGGTGCAACTATTTGGGAGAACAAGATGAGTATTTAGAACTGCACTGCCCATTATGGAAGCCACCAGCCACATATAGCAATTACATTTATATTAAGGGAAAAAAAGAAATTGAAAATTCAGTTCCTCCAACACACTAGCCAAATTTTAAGTACTCAACAGCCACATGTGGCTAGTAACTCCTGTATTGGACATTACAGATATAGAACCCTTCCATCATTGCAGAAAGTTCTACGGAATGGTGCTAACTAGACAATATAAGCACAGGTGTGCCCCCTGCCTCAGAAATCTTACTCCTGAATAGGGATCAGGATTTAGTTTGGGATCTCCCCAAAGCATGACCTGAGCAAAGAGTATAGGTAGTTTATCTGGGAGGTATCCCCAGGAAATACAAGTGAGTGGGAAAATTGGGACTGAAAGAGAGAAAAGCTGGGAGTTCCCTGGTGGCCTAGTAGTTGGGATTTGGTGCTGTCACTGCCATGGCCCCGGGTTCAATCCCTGGTCGGGGGCCTGAGATCCCACAAGCTGCAAGGCACAGCCCACAATTTTTTTTTAATTTTTTTAAAGAAAGAGGGGAAAAGCCAATAAATGGTGCAGAGTGTGGACTAGAGTGAGTCAAGTGAGGCACCTAGGGCGCTTACCTGAAACTGAGGGGGGCTGGCTCCTTAAATTTTGCACCCTAGACACCTTGTTTCCTCACCCTAGTCCCAGCCCCGAAAGGGTGACCACTGTGAACAACTAGAGCTCATTGGTACCCAGGACCCTCTAAGGAGTTGAGAAATCGTGTAGAACATATCTCAGAATTGACTCACTGAGGAAAAGGGAAGCAAAAGTATTTAGTCACAAACTCCTGACCCTTGCTGGTTGAAGATTGCCCATGGGGAATTAATCCTGGCACTTCCAGTCTGTTCTGCATGCCCACAGGAGAAAGACCTCAGATGGAGAAGCAGAAAGATACGGGCACATGACGTGGGAAGCTGTCAGCACGTGTGGGAACCAGATGTACAAGTGAGAGAGAAAATGAGCTGAAGCAATATGGTGGGGGCACCCGCTTGGGGCTACAGCAGCCTAGAAAACCTCCCGCAGAGAGGATGTGTGTGAGCCTTATGGTGATAGGGAGCTGGAGGCAAAATAAATGTCCATCACTGGAGGAATAAATAAGTGAAGGCGTGCTGTTGGCACACCATGGAATACAACACAGCAGAGAGCTTGGGGGTTTCGTGGGGTTTCCCTGGTGGCGCAGTGGTTGGGAATCCGCTTGCCAATGCAGGGGACATGGGTTCGAGCCCTGGTCCGGGAAGATCCCACATGGCGTGGGGCAACTAAGCCCATGAGCCACAACTACTGAGCCTGCGCTCTAGAGCCCGCGAGCCACAACTACTGAGCCTGCGTGCTGCAACTACTGAAGCCCACGAGCCTAGATCCCATGCTTCTCAACAAGAGAAGCCACCGCAGTGAGAAGCCCGCGCACCGCAATGGAGAGTAGCCCCCGTTCGCCACAACCAGAGAAAGCCCGCGCACAGCAACGAAGACCCAACGCAGCCAAAAATAAAATAAATAAATTTATTTAAAAAAAAAAAGAAACAGAGAGATTGATGTACACCACTACATGCAGAGACCTCAGAAACATACTGTTAATTTGTTTTTTTAAAATAAAAGGGGGGGGATGGGCTTTTCTGGTGGCACAGTGGTTGAGAGTCCGTCTGCTGATGCAGGGGACACGGGTTCGTGCCCCGGTCCGGGAAGATCCCACGTGCCACGGAGCGGCTGGGCCCGTGAGCCATGGCCGCTGAGCCTGCACGCCCGGAGCCTGTGCTCCGCAACGGGAGAGACCACAACAGTGAGAGGCCCGCGTACACCCCCCCCCAAAAAAAGAGGGGGAAGAAACAGAACAAGATTTATAGCCCAATCCCATTTATGTAAATTGAAGACATATACACACACAAAATCACAAAGTATAAAGATATATCTTCGCAGCTATGTATCAAGCACATTAAAGTGGGTGTCTGTGAAGGGGAGGGATGGGATAGGGATTGGGCATGAGGCTGGGGGTAAAACCTTAGAGCGTCTTTCATGGGCCAATTGTGATTCTATATGATGATCCAAAGAGTATGATTAGTATCTTTCTGCACCTAAGGGCCAAGAAAAAAATAAAGGAATGAAAAATGTGAAGTGCCAGTACATCAGAGCAATTCCCTTCTCGCTACACAATGATTATCACCGCAGGGGATCATGACAGAAAAGCAACCAGACTCTGCCTGCCTTCTCGAAGCCCTACTCACTGCCTTCTTTCCAGGCAGCCCCTCCAGTCCCCAGCACGTGCTCTTGCCCCGCAGACGAGGAACTTCCTAGCCTTTCACGCTACCCAGAGGGAGAGAAAGGAAAGCTGGACGTCTGTGAGTCCCAGAGGTTCCCATCTTCTGCTTTGGCTGTACACAGAATAGGGAGTAATTGCATGGGATTCCATTCAAACCCCAGCTCTGCCATTAAACACCTGTGGGACCTCAGGTTAAGTCACTTTACCCTCCTGTGCTCTAGTTCCTTCACTGGTAAAACGGGGGGTGATCATAAAAATAACTACTCACGGGAATGTTCGGAGCCTAATATGAATGAGTTCGTGGAACACGCTTAAACCAGTGGAGGAAGCTCCCTCTCTGCTGCTCCAGCAGCCCCGCCCACACACGCCCCGCCCACACACGCCCCGCCCCAGCCCCTGCCCTGCTGTGACAGTTTCCCATTTCTCTTCCTGCCTCAGCCTCAGTCAGGGGCTCCCCAACATCCCAGGGTTTCCTAAACTAGGTTCAGGAACTTCTCAGGCTCCCTCCTGGGATTTCCGTTTCTCTTTCCTTCTGGGCATAGCTCTGAGCTCACCTGGTCCCACCCATACCTGTCAACTCACCTGGCTTAGCAGCTGGCCCCATCCACTCATGCCTTTTAAAGTCAAAGCCCTCAGCCAGGGTTGCGCATTTAGCCTGGCTAAAAAGCCGAGCCAGGCAGCTGGGGAAGCAATTTGCGATTTGACCATGGCTGCAGACTTGACCCTAGTTCTGGTGACGACCATGGGGCTGGGCTTGGCCAGAGCATGTCCTGTCCCCACCACAACCAGGAAGGCCTTCGACATTGGCATGTTCAAATCTCTGCTGCCAAGCGAGCTGGTGGCCTTCAAGAAAGCCAAGAATGGAAATTCCCTGGCAGTCCAGTGGTCAGGGCTCCACGCTCTCACTGCCAGGCCCGGGTTCGATCTCTGGTCAGGGAACTAAGATCCCACAAGCCGCGGGGTGCGGCCAAAAAAAAAAAGCCAAAGATGCCTTGGTAAGTCCCTGTTATGGGCTCACCTCTACCCCTTCTACCGTAGCCATGCTGCTGCCCGCTACTGTTGGCCTAACCTCTATCCTCCTGCTACATGGGCTAGCCTCTAGCTTTTCGGCTATGACTAACATCTGTTCTCTCTGCTGTGGATTAAACTCAAGCCCTTCTGCTAGACCTTCATCCTTGCTGCTAGCCTCTGTCCCTCCCGTTGTGGGTTGAACCTGACCTTGCTCTCTGAGCAGTGTCGCTCTTGCAGAAGGACTGGAACTGCAGCTCCCTCCTCTTCCCCAGGACCCGGGACCTGAAGCAGCTGCAGGTGAGTTGGGAGAGTCAGGCCCACCTGCCCTCACCTGGCCCCGCTCCTCTGGCTTTGCAGGCGGCCCCTGATGTCCTTTATCTCACCTGTGCTTCCCTCTCTCTGGTCTCTCCTCCTCTGTCCTGGGCCCCTGTGCCTCCCCAACTGCTCCCTTGACCCTGTCCCTCCCCTGGGTTCCTTTTTATCATCTCTCTGCCTGTCCTCACTTCCCTATCTCCCCGACCTGTCCCTCTCACCTGCACTCTTACCTTGTTCCTTCTCACTTCTCTCTTCTCTCCCGACTCTGTCCCCAGCCTGTGCCCCTTGCCCTGCCCACCTTGTCACCATCTACTCTCAACACTGATTCCCTCTTCCCCTCTCACCTGCCCTCCCCACGCTCTCACCTCTCTGTCCCTTGTCATCTTCCTCCGCTGATCTTTTCCCAGCAAACATTCCTCCTTCCTCCACACTTCTCACCTATGCAGCCAACTGTCCCACGCTCACCTACCTCCCCAAACGGTTCTCTTCTCACCCGTTCCCATCCCCGTTCTTCAGACCTCTGTGACCTCCCTCATGAGTCACTTTTCATTTGTCCCCATTTCACTTTTTCACCTGCTCCCTCACTTTTCCTTCCCTTATCATTCTGTCTCACCTGTATCCCCTTCATCTGCCGCCTTCCTCATGTGTTCCCCTCTCCTGTCTCTCTCTTACCTGTCCCATCACCTGTCCCCACTTAACTGGGCCTTATTGCCTATCCTTCCTCACCTTTCCACCTCACCTGTTCTCTCTCACCTCTCCTCAGGTGTAGGAGCACCCCACAGCCTTGGAGGCGGAGCTGGCTCTGACACTGAAGGGTCCTGGGGACGGTGGCTAACTCATCCCTGGATCACATCCCAGACCAGCCACTTCACACGCTGCAGCACATCCACTCCAAGCTCCAGGCCTGTGTGAGTGCTCGGGGCACCCGGGCCGTGTCTGGGCTCTGGCCACCTGTATGTGCCCCTGTGTCCCAGGCCCTGCCTCACACACCACCTTCCTCTGTTCTCAGGTCCAGGCTCAGCCCACAGCAGGCTCCAGGCCCCAGGAGCCACTTCCAGTACTGGCTGCATCGGCTCCAGGAGGCCCCAAACAAGGTGAGTGACCGGGGAAGAGGGTGGATGCCTGGGCCCTGGGTAAGGAGGAGGCTGACGCCTGGGCAATGGGAAACCACCTTCTCGTCTCTCCCACAGGAGTTTCAAGATGGCCCCAAGGCCTCTGTCACATTCATCCTCTTCCACCTGCTCTTGTGCTGCCAGAGGAGACCTGTGCATCTGAGCACTGGGACCTACCCCAGCCCATCTGGGAGCCCAGACCTTATTTATGCACTAACCCCAGCCCTGCCTTAAGTTATTTCTTCTCACCCCTGCAGCCCTGACTAAGACCTGAAAGAAATGTTTATTTTTCCACTTTTATATAATATGCAGAAATAAACAGTAAGGAATTGGAATCTTCTGCAATAAGTGAATCTTTGAGTGTGTGTGTGTGTGTGTGTGTGTGTGTGTGTGTGTGACTGTGGGTCTGTGACTGTGGATGTCTGTGTAGTGCAGGCAAAATTCATGACAGGTTGCATATATTTGCGTGTGCCTGACTTCTGTGACTGTGTATGTATATGCATCCAAGTGAGTATCTGCCCAAACCTAAGTCCAACTGAAGATGTATAACAGCATATTCATGCCCGTGTGTGTGTGTGTGTGTGTGTGTGTATTTATGCACATGTTTTTATATCTCTCCCTGTCTGTGTGAACTGTATATCTCTCTTTTCCATATGTACCTAGGACAGATGGAAGTCTATATCAGTCAGGATGCTTTATCCTATAATGTGTCAGAAACCCAACTCAAATGGGTAGAACAAAAATGAATTTATGATGTCACAGTAAAAAGTGCATTGGCAGGGCAGCTCCAAAACTCATTCATTCATTCATTCAACAATGTCATTGGGGAACCAGGTTCTTTCCATTTCTGTTGACTGATTCTTACTCTGGCTACCTCATGGTCTCAAGACAGCAGCCATGGCTCCAGCTTTCACACAAACAATATGCTCGAAGTCATAACAAACACCCCAAACTTAGTGGAGTAAAACAACAACTATCTTATTATGCTCGCAGATTCTGTGGGTCACGAAATTGGACAAGGCCCAGTGTGGATCACTTGCCTCTGCAGTTTGGAGTGGCCATGAGACTAAAGGGCCTCTTAAGTGAGTTAATTTATGTAAAGAATTGAAAATAATTCTTGGCACAGGTTAAGCCCCATATATGCGTTTATTGCTGTTATTTTGATTATTTTCGGATGTTTTTCTTCCGTAACACAAAGAAAACTCTTCCATTTGTTCCCTTCCTTCCTGCTTAGTTCATTGGTATAAAGATGAGAGACCTGGAGCTGTGGTGGCCAATGAGGCAGCAAGCCTAGAATATGAAACTATTCTTCTAAGGAAGGTGGAACAAAATAGTAGGAGAATGGGTCATTGGTGATATCAATAAGCTGTTGCATTAACAGCTCCAAACTCCCAACTCCAGACATATTAAATGAGATAACCAAATATCTTGAGTCATGTTGATTGGGTTTTGTTTCTTCAGCCAAATGTATCCTCAAAAATCCATCTCTGTACGCCCAGCAAAGAACCCAGAGAAAGAGACCGATTATTTGATAATAAAAATTTGAATAATGTAGGACATGTCTGAGTTCAGGCATATACCCCTTTTCAGTATGACTGATGTAATTGAAACAAGGTTGCAAACCTCTGCTCGGAGATGCCAAGGCCTAACAAAGAAATTTTGAACTGGATATACTTTGGTTTGCCTGCCCAGCATCCATTTCACCTGGTAAAGCTTCTCAATTTTCCTTTGGGGCATGATCCCCCTTTCCCATTCCCTCATTGGTTGAACACAAGGCTCAGGTGTGCCCAGTCAGAGCACTCCATCTCCAGAGTAAAGTGACCAGTCTTCCCTTGCCTCCCTCATGACAGCCTTTGCATAAGCTGTTCCCTCTGCTTGGGACATGTCCCCACTACTCTCCCACCACTACCACGTCTTCATCTAATTTCCACTCATTCCCTATGTCTCAGTAATATCACTTCCTCCACCAAAAAGCCTTCTGAGTGGGCTTCCCTGGTGGCGTGGTGGTTGGGAGTCCGCCTGCCGATGCAGGGGACGCGGGTTCGTGACCCGGTCCGCAAGGATCCCACGTGCCGCGGAGCGGCTCGGCCCGTGAGCTATGGCCGCTGGGCCTGCGCGTCTGGAGCCTGTGCTCCGCAACGGGAGAGGCCACGGCAGTGAGAGGCCCGCGTACCGCAAAAACAAAAACAAAATCCTTCGGAGTGGAGCACTGGGGTTTCTATTGCTTTTATATGCCCAACAAGTTTTCCCATCCCACTTTTCCAGTGACTATTTAGGTTCAGCCATATAAAATTGCCAATGTTCTGCCATTTCTAACCTACAAAACTGGCAATTTCATATGGTTCACCCTAATATTTTTAGCACCTCCCCCTTCCCCAGGCCAAACGATCTGGACATGTGACCCCAACCTGGCCAGTCAAAACATTCCATTCCTTTGGATATCACAATCAATGCAGGGGTGGCATGTGTCCCCAGTCAGGCCAATCAGAGCCCTTACCTGGGATTTTTTTTTTCATTTAGGACTGGAGATTTTGCCATTTTACCTCTGGGCTAGAAGGATTGAGTCTGTGTCTGTAAATAAATGGCCATTTTTCCCTACTACATGCAGTTGAAGGGGATAAATCTGAGTTGAGACAAGCGGAGAAGAGAAATGAATGGGAAGAGTGTCATGATGGAGTTGAGCCTGGGTTCCAGTCTCTAAGGCCAAGTTCCTGGTAGCTTTACCCTTGATTGTCTCCTTCCTAGCTACATGAGCCAACAAATGCACACTTTTTACACTTAATCCAGTTAAGCTGACTTCCTGTCACTTGCTACCAAGACTCTAACACACTTCCCTGAACCTCCAGGCAGGGGTCAGGCAGCTCTTCTGGGCTCTGATAGGCTTCATGTTTCTCCCACCGCAGCCCTATTGCCATCTGTCTGCCTGAGCTCCAAGAGGGTAGGAACTGGAGCTGTCTTGGTCAGTGGGTCACTGTTGACCAATTGGTCACTGCTGGGTCACCAGTGCCCATCACAGGGCCAGGGCACAGAGCACATGTTCCAATACTCCCCTCGAATGATACCATGCCCTCTCTCACTAATGTACCTGTTCTTGGGTTTAAAGCTCTCAATTTGGGGAAAAAACAAAACCAAGCATGTCATTGGCATTGATAAATACTTCTCTGTTAAATGAAAGGCCTGAAGTTAGAGGGGAAGGAAGGTGATGGCTGTCATCCAAAGGGCTGAACCAGGGACCATGTGGGTCCCAAATATGCCGATGGGTGGATGCCAAGTTCTGAGGTGGTGGTTCCTGATTTTGTTTTGAAGACAGGCACACCCTGCTCAAAGCTGGATTCTCCATGGAAATCAGGCCATATACTGCCCCAGCTGAAAACACTGCACTGGCTTCCCACAGCTCCGAGAATAAAATCTTTACCTTTGACCACAGCCCACAAGACTCTGCAGAACCTGCTCCCTGCTTGCCTCTCCCACCTGCTCTCCTCTCACTCTCCCCCTTATTCCAGTCCAGACACGCTATACCTCCAACACACCAAGCACACTCCTGCCTCAGGGGCTTTGTGCATGCTCTTCTCTTTGCCAGCAATGCTCTTCCCTGGCTCATCCCACAATGGATTTCTTCAGCTCCAACATCACCTTCCTTGACCTTCTAACCTAAAGTAAGCCTCTCAGTCATCCCATCCCAGCATCCTGTTTTCATTCTCAACATGACACTTATTCACTACCAGACACTCATTATTTACTTGCTTGATTACTGTCTCCTTGCTCCATGGGGCAGGAGTTTCTCGTTTTGTCTATTTTGTTCACTGTTGTATCCCCTGCACAGGGCCAGGTACATAGTACATGCTCAAGAAAGCTTTACCAGGTGGATCAGAGACAATATAGTCAGATGGTTAGGTGTGCAGGATTTGGAGGCAGTAAACTTTCCAATCATGGCTCTGCCGTTTACTGCCTGCATGATCTTGGGCAAGTCCTTACCTCTCTGAACTTCAGTTTTCTTATCTAAAAAAAGAGGGTACACAAGGCCTCTTGCCTTCTGAGATGGCCCACACTCTGTCTGTGGAGCGTGTTTCTAAGTAAACCCACTTCTTACCTATCCAAAAATAAATAAGAGGGTGCACACACCGCACACATCTGTTGTAGAGTGTAGATGTAATCATGCTTACTGTCTTAAGTCCATTTTGTGAGTGCTGTGTGCCAGGGGCTGAGCTGCACACTCTTTATTCATGCATCAGGGAGGGTTTGTGAGCACAGTGCCTGGTGTGTGGGAAGCCCTCAGTATCCAGGAGTCGTGACGACTGAGATAGATGAGTGTGGCTAGGCCACTGGGTGATTCTGGCCTGTGATCCTCTGGTGCCTCTGTCCTTGCTGCCTACCACCCTGTCTGCCCAGATCCATTCCCCTCCCTCCTGCTCTGTTTCTATTTCTGTCTTTCTCTCCTCCTCCCCAGGCCTCAGGAGGCCCCTGGCTGGCATGAGGCCTTCTTCCTTCTTTCCCAGGATTGGGAAAGAGATTTCACTGCAGGGCCCACCGG